ATTGTTCCAGTTGCCCCCAACCCACCCCATCCAACCCTGGTCCATCCATAAATATCTATTCTATTTCCCCTTCCTAGAAGACCCATTCCTCCTCCCTAATCCTTACTCTCTATCTAACCTCTGTAGTTCTACAGATTGTAGCCTGCTGATCAACGACTTAACAGATAGCATCCACATATATGAAAAATACATATTTGGTTGGGCAGTGGTGGTTCATGCCTTTAATCCCAGAACTCAGGAGGCAGAATCAGATAAATCTCTGTGAGTTTGAGGCCAGCCTGATCTACAAAAGCTAGTTGCAGGACAGCCGAGCTTTTACACAGAGAAACCCTGTCTCAAAAAATCAATAAAAAAAGAAGAAAGAAAAGAAAATCCATATATGTCTCTTGGGGCCTGAATTACCTCCCTGGATTATTTTCCTAGTTTCACTCATTTATCTGAAAATTTCATGATTTCTTTTAACAGTTGAGTAATATTCCATTGTGTAAATGTTCCAATTTTTTTTATCAGTTCATTCATTGAGGGACATCAAATTTCATTCCAATTTCTGGTGATTGTGAACAGAACAGCAATGAACAGGGTTGATCAAGTATCCTTGTGGTAGGATAGAGAGTCCTTTGAGTATATGCCCAAGAGCAGTATAGCTAGATCTTAAGGCAAATTGATTGTAATCTTTCTGAGAAATTGTCATACTCATTTTCAATGTGACTACACAGGTCCCATCAGCAATGGATGAGTGTTACCCTTTTTCTACACTGTCTCCAGAATGAGTTATTATTTGTACTATTGATGTTAGCAATTCTGACAGGTGTAAGATAGCATCTCAAACCCATTTTTGCTTTACATTTCCCTGATGGTTAAGGGAAATTTAAGCACATTTCTTAAAGTGCTTCTCAACCATTTGAGTTTCCCTTTTTGAGTATTCTCTATTGTTAAACTACCAATTTTTAAAAATTGAGGTTTTTTTTCGTGTCAAGGTTTATGAGTTCTCTATATATTTTAGACCTTATTTCTCTATCAGATGTGTAGTTCGTGAAATCTTTTGTCATTCAATAAGCTGCTGCTTTGTCTGAATGATGGTGTCCTTTGTCTTACAGAAGCTTTTCTGTAAGACAGAAAATGAGGTCCCATTTATTGTTGATCTTTGGTGCTGTTTTCTGTTCAGAAAGTCTTCTCCTGTGCCAATGAATTCAAGGTTATTTCCAATTTTCTCTTTATCAGATTCAATGTTTCTGAACATTGTTGAGGTCTTTAATTCATTTGGAATTATATAGTTTTGTGCAAAATGATAAATATGCATCTATTTCAATCCTCAATATGCAGCCGTCCAATTTGACTAGTATGATTTGATGAAGATGCTGCCTGTTTATATTATGTATTTCTGGATTCTTAACCAAAAATCAGGTGTTTATAAGGATGTGGAATTGTTTCTTAGTCTTTAGTTGTATTCTGGTGAGATATAT